AATAATTATTATTATTATTGCTCTAAATGTTTAATGACTAAATTCTGCTTTCCTCAAGTTACGTCAAATTACATTTTACGTACATCAATAGATGTTGTCTCTTTCGTTTTCTCTCTCTCTCTCTCTATATATATATATATATATATATATATATATATATATATATATATATATATATATATATACTAGTTCATATATATATATTTATATATACTAATATAAGTAACTATACTCGTTTCGAAAAACCCTCGAATTTTTGATTTGCCAATAATCAAATCAATCTCGAGGGAAAAAAGGTTTTAAAAAAAAAAGAAATAGCTAGAAACATGAAAGTCTGTCGAAAAAAATCGCACAGATACAGGTTTGAAGCCCAAAGAAATAAAACCCCGATACGAGTAAACAACTAACTAAAAAGAGCTCAATACAACCGTAGAGCAGACCTAGATAAACCTAGTGAGCCATACAAACATACCCAGGTTTCACCTAAGCGGATCGTCAGGGAAAGCTGGCTAAAGAGGCAAAGAGAAACGCATAAGAGAAACCTGGGTACGTTTGTCTGGCTCACTAGGTTTATCTATCTATCTATCTATCTATCTATCTATCTATCTATATATATATATATATATATATATATATATATATATATACTATTTCATTTTATAACTGAGAATTCCTTTCGCAGGCCACGACTGCCATATCGCCTAACAATTGTCCGTTTCAACACCCATAAAACTAGCAGTTGTGGCCATTAAAATATAACAACATATATAGAATTAAATAGTTTTTCAGCTGTAGTAGTTATCAATTCAGCTGTAGTAGTTATCATTGCTGCGTTAAATGACATATTTCTTATTCCAAACGGTTTCCGCATTGAAATACAGATTCGATTCCTGCTGGAGAACGTATATTTTCTACAATATTTCTCGAACATTCAGGCCGTAAAAGTAACTAATGCTGTTTAATAAAAAACAGTCCATTTACTTAAATTAGTTGTTTCTATAAAAGTAACGTATAAGCAGAAAGTGTATAAAAACCCCCAGAAATTCAGTCAGTTATGTGCCATGCGTGATACACGCTTAAGCGATCATGTATCTTTCGATACATCACTGATGAGGTAGATTTTTTTTACCGCAGTAGTTTGCATTTCTTACTGCGGTAGACCAGTTGCCATCCAAGGCTATAGAACCTGATCTGTCTTGCTATTTACTGGGGAGAAGAGGATTCATACCTTTCCCAAGGGTATTAGCACGTATGTAAAGGATTTGACTGGAATTTGAACTCGGCTCTCTGACTACTCAATCCGAGCCACTATCCCTTACTCCACCATGCCTACTCATAAACCGAAATTATGTATTATTTAATATGTCTTTTTTTAAAAAGGAAATTATATATTAAATAATTGACGGACTTTTCCTTCTATGTAGTCACTGGTTACGTTAAGAAAATGGACATTTATAAATGCGCAAGATATATTCTGGCGGGAAAAATTGTCTAGCACGCCATAGTGAACCGACATTCGTCGCAGCAGGCCTAACAGCTGATTCAATATATTTGTTCCCCTTGAGTAAAATAATTGTTAATTCGATCCGTTTCTTTCGCAGTTGTAAACGAAAAAAAAAAAAAATGATATCGTTGTCTCGATCTACGCATGGGAATGTGAAATCCCAACGTTTGACAAAACATTAATACTGAAATGGCGTAACACTATTTGAAGTTAAACGGTTTATTTTAAAATTCGAATGTCGAAGATGAGACAACTCGGTCGAAATAATGACAATCTGTTCTGAACATATCTAAGCATATTTTATAGTAAATGAGCGTAAAAACGCTTGAAAAGATTCGAAGTTGCTGCTAAAAATAGAAATATGTATCGTTTAAAAAACGGAAAGAAAATTAATAAGAGTTTCTGTCTCGAAGCTGAGGTGCCGACAATTTCTATGCCTGACCAAGAAGGAAAATTCTAGATTTTGTTATATCCCATAATTATAGCACACCTTAAATCTATATTTCTTCATATATATATATATATATATATATATATATATATATATATATATATATATATATATATATATCGTGGGGTGTTTTGTGTCTGTTTCAAGCCGTTGCAGGTCATTTAAAACAGATAATATTTCTAGATTTAATAATTTTGGGGGAGATAATAGTGATTTCCTGATAAAATTTTTACTAATTAACCCTTATCTGGGAGTAGAAAATGTAAATTAATATAATTTCCAATGAGAATTTCCGCTTAATTGAATGTATCGAACCCAACGGGAATTGGAACCATTAGATCACAGCATATCCAATTTTACTACACCTGGTTTTTCGAAGCGGTCGTTCGTCTAGTTACTGATCAGTATCGACGTTGCTTAACTATGAGTATCATACGGTAACCGGGCTTCCAACGTGTTGTTGTCGTAAGTCTTCTCTTCCACAGAAACCTATTGTCGTAAACCTTTTAATGGAGTAATTGATAAATATTAGTCACACTTGTATTTTTCTCTTTTTTCATCACGTCACATTATTCAAAACGGTTACTGCCATTTACAAAGTGTAGCTTCGTCGTAGTTTCGTAAAAAAATTGTTGTGTGATCATTAGAGAGGAATTTACGACACAAGTAAATTAATTTTTCGCGAAGATGTTGCTTACCTCGTGGGGATTTTCTTGAGAGTAGCTATAAACTTAAGTAAAGGAATGCAGGACTATTTTCTTCACAAGAGGAAACTTGAAGTAGCAGTGATGCGGTCTCACAGAAAGATAGTGAGAATATCACAGACAGACCATGTGAGCAACGAGGAAGTTTTAAGAAAAATGGAAACAAAACCGACATGTATATTTAAAATCAGAAAAAAATGATTCCTGGACACATAATGAGGAGAGACGGCTTCGAGAATTTGATACTCACAGGACAGGTTGAAGGCAGAGGTAGAGGTAGAGGGAAACAACGACTAACCTATCAAATAATCTTCCTTTGAATTGATGACAGAAGAGAGTGTTGAAGGGAGAGTAAGGGAGCAAAAAATTGTGTAGAGCTTGTTGCGAGAGTATGTACGTTGGTGTTTGAGTTGGGAAACACGTGTCTCCTGGAGTGTAGATCCCACAAAAAAAAAGGTCGAACTCGGTATGTGAGTCCGGGTAATAAAATAGAGAGAAACAACTAAAACCAAATATATACAAACAAAAGATAATGTATTATTAACGACAAAACGTTACATTGTTCCGAGCGACAAAGACATGCGACAAAAACATGCGACAAAACAATGAAATGCGTGAAAACATGTAAAGACGAGTGAATTGTTCGTGTATGTAAAATATAAGTAGAAGTTCTAGAGTAAATGAAGTTGCGTACGTACGTGTGTGTGTGCGTTTGTGTTTGCGTGTCGCAATGGGAAACGCGTTTTCACGATCGACCTACATCCTATCGTGTCTAAGGAAAATAGGAAAAAGTGAATATTAATGGCAAGTGAAGAGAAAGCTGCTGGTGCGCGTGCGCGCTTTTCCACGCGTCTGACCTACATCTTACCGTCCCTGGGTGAAATAGGAGAAAGAGAATGATAGAAAATATTATAGTGTATTTATAAAAAAAAATCCTCAAAAAATCCTCTAGTGGCGTTATTTTAGGAAGGTAAGTGGGGTAAGTCCACAAGCTAAAAATGATAAGAATTTGTAGAGAACGCCGGTCGCGCACAACCCGTAGTCACACAGATCATAGAAATGTAATAACGTTGGCCCCCTTAAAACGTAAGTTACATGACTCAACGTGATAGTATCTAATAAGTTATGTTGAGTCAGTTTCATTGACCAAGTTATAGAGAATTTGATAAGAATTTAACACACAATGCAGGTAAAAATAGTCTTTGAATCGCCCGAGATAATAAGAACGACATTCATATTCGCTATACAACACTTCTCCCAATCAATGGTTTCCCATTAAAAGAAATAAAAAAAAATGCATACCGCGATTGCTTTAAAGAAAACGCACACACTACTATTTACAGTGTGTGTCATAATTCTCTGAATAACCGCCATGTTTTCCCAGTTCAAGTGATAATTCTCATTTTTCACAGCTTGATTATCTTCTCATATATTGGTGAGGATTAATTGACTACGATTGTTTTTCAAGCGTGGCTGTTTGCAAAGGGATGTGTGTGCATGAGGGTGCAGCATGGATAAATGCTTGTGTATCAACTTGCCTATTTGGCTATGAAAGACAAAAAAAAAAGTCGAACTCGGTATGTGAGTCCGGGTAATAAAATATAAAAACAACTAAAACCAATTATATACAAACAAAAGATAATGTATTATTAACGACAAAACGTTACATTGTTCCGAGCGACAAAGACATGCGACAAAACAATGAAATGCGTGAAAACATGTAAAGACGAGTGAATTGTTCGTGTATGTAAAATGTAAGTAGATGTCCCAGAGAAAATGAAGAAAATGAAGTTGCGTGCGTACGTGTGTGTGTGTGTGCACAGACCCCTTGAGCTACCTTAAGGGGTCTGTGACAAAAAGGGCCCGTGACTCAAAAAAGGTTAAGAACCACTATGCTGAGGTATTGTTAATTTCTTATGATATGATGTGGTAAGTTTGGGTTAGCTTGGTGCAAGGTCGGATTAGAAAGGGCTAAAAAACAAAACAAAACAAAAAAATAGCACGCTACAGTAGTACGGAGACAAGTTAGGATTGATCTCACAACGCCAGTGAATATGGTTTTCTGTGCAAATTGAAAGACTCGGTCACTGAATCAGTTAAAATGAGATCGAGATATAAATGATAACGGTTAAACAGGAAACGGTACCATTCCAATGGGCAATATTTAAAAGGTCAGTTTTCCTTAACGGTCTTCCATCTTTAATACCTCTGTTCCCGGCATTTCAACGATGAACCTCTCTTTTCCCTTTGTAAAGAGGCTTTTGTATATACGACAAACAATGAACACAATGTGTGCCACTAAGATCGCAATAAAACGGCCAGGTCAACGCCTCATGTGGCAATGGGGTCACGCGAGATTTATCATCCTTCCATGCCGCTGGGGTTAAAGAGATTTTCAGTGTAGGAACACGGCTTGACATTCTTCCGTCTCGTGTCTTCATTTGCAGATATGTCGCTTTCCCGAACGCAACATCCATCTTATTCGGCGCCGTGACGTCACTCATTACTCATTCTTCAAGTCAACCGTATTTCTTTCATATCCTGTCTCGAACTTTGTCCATCTGTTTTGTACGCTATGAACAAAGACTTACCGAGTCAACAGATGTAGACGGTTGGGTAGCAACGGGCACTCATTAAAAACGAAACGGGATACTTTAAAGATTCTGTAATCCGCGATCGGTGAGCGGTGAAAGATGCGCTTGATGCTTAAGTATCGGTCGAAAATACCTTGCCTTACCCAACACGTATCGACCTTTGTTTCCTTCTAAAGTTGCGTTTTCTTTTCTTTGATTCTTCCTTTATCGTTCTTTTTCACTGGCATTATTTTCCAGTTTTAACAACGTTCCTAAGGAATGTGAAACAGTGTCTTTTAATGTCGTATGCAATATATACAAGCCAACGACAAAAGATTCCTAGCACTTTCGACTCCTTTCACCCCGATAGCCACTAAGCTTCCATCTTTAGTTCAAGGAGGTAGGTTCTATCACAGGAATTCCCGTGACTAAACACCCCTTATTACGGTACTGTGAACTGTCCGAAGGTAGAAACACAGCAAAGAGGCAGGGAACATGTATTACGCTTTGACGCCAACCAGAAAGTTGAAAAAAGACGTTGACCTTATATATGAGGTGGCACGGTGGAGTAATGGATAGTGGCTCGGATTGAGGAATCGGAGAGCTGAGTTCGAATTCCAGTCGAATCCATTACATTCACTTACGTGCTAATACTCTTGGGAAAGGTATGAATCCTATTCTTCCTTCTCCAGCTATAGACTTGGATCTGGTCTAGGAGAAGGGCAACTCTGAATTCAAAACCTGCGGAGGGTCGTTTGGGGATCCTGTGGCACGTTGTTCAGCCCTTCAAAAACGGTGAAGGGTTCTACACAAAACCACTATATTGCTGGTGTCGGGCTGTCAGTTTCCGAGGAACTGATCTACTTGACCCTTATATGTCGAATTCGACAGAAGAGTCGAGAGTATATATATATATATATATATATATATATATATATATATATATATATTTTTGATCATTACGCCCTCTACCTGTTCAGTTTCTATTTACCCTTTTACCAGTATGGAGACTAAATGATCGCTGTAAATTTAGTCTTTTTCTTATTTATCCCACTCAAGCCCATCAAGTCTGCCCCATGAGTGTCAGAAATTTCAACCGCCTCTTCACGATATTAATCATAAGTGCCCTTTTTGTCTCTGAAACCTCGTCATTGCTTTCATGTTCGGTCTATGGTATCCTCAGCATCTTTCTGTAGAACCACTTTTCTGTTGCTTCAAGTCTCTTCAACTTTGAGGAGGTCACCAAGCATCCGTTGCCATATAGGAGAACAGATATCACGTAACAGTTTAATACTTATTTCTTTGTTTTTAACGAAAGTTTTCTGCCTCTTAATACTCTGGTTAGCTTTTGAAAGGCATCTTTGTCTATTCCAGTACGTCTCCGGATTTCAGTGTCGCACATTTGTCCTCTGTTAGAACACTTCTCAGTAGACAGTTGAATTACTGTGTATACATATTTTGAGACACTCTGTCTGTCTGTCTGTCTCTCTCTCTCTCTCGATATATATATATATATATATATATATATATATATATATATATATAAATATATATATATATATATATATATATATATATATATATATCCAAATGTAAAGGGACAAAATGATATAAATTGAAACCTTCATAACATTAATTTAAAAAGCTCCATACACGAAGTAGACCAATAAATATTTTCTAAACTGTTACAATTGTTGTAACAATTTATATTTATATATATATATATATATATATATATATATATATATATATATATATATATATATATATATATATATATGAGAGATGGGAGAGAAGGAACCCTTTGAAGTGTATTTCGCGCGTACGTTTCTGCTCATTAGAAACTACTTCGTCACAGGCTCTGTTCAATTCCTACTTACCCTTTTGGCTTTCTTGCTGTCCAGCCAGTATGAAGACTAGACCGGCGCAGACGTATAATCGTTGACCTCAAAACATGACATGGGCAAGTCAGGACGACGACGATCATTAATAGCGTGAGCGTTATTACCTTGATCTGCATTGCGGGATCAGAGAGTCACACGGTCTGCAATGAAGCGGATCGGCAATTTCTTCGGTTGAGATCACATTTCGCATGAATGATTGACAGTGAGCATCACAGGATGGCCATTTGATAGCGACTGGAGGTAAACGGTGTGGAAATAACATTTAATCCCTTCTTAACTCTGTGCTATCTATCTATCTATCTATCTATCTATCTATCTATCTATCTATCTATCTATCTATCCCAGTCTGTTCATATCTATCTATCTATCTATCTATCTATCTATCTATCTATCTATCTATCTATCTATCCCAGTCTGTTCATATCTATCTATCTATCTATCTATCTATCTATCTATCTATCTATCTATCTATCCTAGTCTGTTCATATCTATCTATCTATCTATCTATCTATCTATCTATCTATCTATCTATCTATCTATCCTAGTCTGTTCATATCTATCTATCTATCTATCTATCTATCTATCTATCTATCTATCTATCTATCCCAGTCTGTTCATATCTATCTATCTATCTATCTATCTATCTATCTATCTATCTATCCCTGTCTGTTCATATCTGTCTATCTATCTATCCCAGTTTGTTCATATCTATCTATCTATCTATCATTATTATTATCAATATTTTTATTCAAACATTACAGATTTATATAGATCGATTGATAGTTAGATTGATAGAAACAATTTCTCAGGAATTAAAGGATTTATTGCTAATCTGACATTTTTAATACTTTAAACGGTATTTCTTCTTACTACCCATGTTTGGATGCTACATCCCTTTTTGAACTGTTTATTACGTTTACTGGTCTGCGCATCAGAATAAACTTAATAAAGTAAATCTACACTCCGGTATTTGCTTTATTACGCAAAAAATAAAGTTTGAAGTATTGAAAATGTCAGATTAAAAATAGATTCTTTAACTCATCAAACATTCCTATCTATCTATCTATCTATCTATCTATCTATCTATCTATCTATCTATCTATCTATCAGCATATATCTATCTTTATGTAAACCTCCTATTCTTATTATCTATGTCGGTGTGAGGTAATAGCTAGGGAGATTACTCTGATTGACCATTAAAACTGACTTGCGAGCTCGATCCTCACTGAGTGTCCCATACAAAAATTCGAAATTGTATAACCCAACAAGTGTTGACATGTTGTAAAATCAGTCAACTTAAATCTATCTATCTATCTATCTATCTATCTATCTATCTATCTATCTGCCTGCCTAAAATCCGCGCAGATGAAGAAGAGATTTGAAGCAAGAAAATTTGGTTCTACAGAATGATGCTGAGAGCACCACTGACCGAATTGTGAGCAAGGAAGAGAACCTTTAAAGAAAATAAAAAAATCACACTTATGCTTAACGTCAGAAAGAAACAGTTAAAATTTCTAGCGCACATAATGAGGAAAGAGGGCCTGTAAAATTTAATATTCGCAGAACAGATTAAAGGCAACGGGGATAGAGGAAAAGAACGCATAATCTACCTAGGGAACTTTAAATGAATGGCAGAGCAGGGTTTACAAGCGATAACAAAAGACAAAATTCATTAAGAGCGACAAAAGGCAGGAAGTTGCGGAGAGGCATGATCGCCAAAGATCTAGAAGAAGAATTTATCACAATCTGCACATGTGAATTTAGCATTTAAATTTACGCTTTTTTAAAAAGACAAATTTGTTTTATTGTAATTGCTGTGCTATTTTTTATGCTTTTTATGTTTTATTTAGAATTTGTAAAAATCTTGAATAATTACCCATCAACGGGAAAATATTTTAATTATGAACCCAAGGTATTTTCACTGCTGTAATGATGTTAAATTTTTTTAATGATTCCCACCCCCAAGGAATGCAATAAAGCCACTAAGACACAAGAGGCTATTGAGTTTTGCAGAATATGATTAAGAAAATAAACATTTTTAAGAAGACCGAACAAATACAAAAGAACAGGATTTAAGAAGACTGTTCCGATGTGGGGTCTGGCAAGACACAGCACTTAACACGACAGAGTCAGACGTGATCGTAATATTCAATACTCAGCTAGACAAGTCACTGCAAATAGTATTATCTTCTTTAGTTTCTAAACTATTGCCGAAGACTACTTATCATGAATAGATCAGTCTATTCATAATAGTAAGGAGGTTTTTACCACAACAAAAACAAAAAAAAAATAACGATTGTCACTGTATTTAAATTTTTGACGATCAAATTTGACTGGAGAGCAAGAAGCCGGAAGAGATTTTTTTTTCTTAAAATATTGAACATCTATTTTTTACTGACCTTATAAATTTATTTAATGGCTATCGCATAAAAACTGATTTCAATCAGTTTTGTAGGACTGTGGGTCGCCAGTTGGAAGCCGAACGTCACTCATTTTACCTTTTTGTGAGTTGAGAAGAGTAATACAGGTGCATGTGTTTATCCTTAAACCTATTCACAATCTTCAGATATGTTCGGTACGATAGTTCACGAGAAAAATACTTGAAACAAAATTGTGTTTCCACAGAAAGTCTTGTGGAATATATTGGACTGAACATATGGCCGATTACGAAATTTTAGAGAAAATGGAAACAAAAAGAAATGTCTCATAAGAAGGAAAGAGGGCTTAGAAAACAATCACAGGCCAAATTTTGAAAGCACAACAAACGAAAACAATGAAGAAACATCAACACTCTTCTCACTTTCTTTTGACTATTGATGTGGGGCCAAAGTTGGTACCACAGAAGGAAAACACAGAACACAGATTAGATGTAAGAAAGATATATTAACAACAGGTTACAGATAGTGTAAGCGGAGCTTACTATATGTTAGTGTCCAATACTGGTAGTCGTACGCGGCTGTCTCTGTCTCTCTATATCACTCTCTGTGTCACTCTCTAGAGTGCTATGTCGCCTACTTAATATAGGCCTGGAAGAGTCTATTGTGTAGGTAATTTCCGGTCTCAATAACTATATATATATATATATATATATATATATATATATATATATATATATATATTACATGAATCATTCATACAAAAAACAAATATAGAGGTTAATGATTTAAATGGCGAGAATACATCTTCGCAAACAATTTCAATAAGATACACTAACCCGGAACCTGTATATGAATGATATGATCCCTGTTTATAAATTCCAATATAGTTCATGCCACATTGACGGAAACCTACCAGTACAAAAGAATTCTCTTATTACTATATTTGTGCAAAAATGCACAATCTTAAAATTTAAAATTCAAACTCAGCGTTGTGACCGCACGTTCCAAAACAATAACACATTTCTCATAGCATTTTTTCGGATTACATCTATATTTTCGTTGTCCTCTTATTACCGAGAAGTAAAAAACAAGGACAAAATCTATTTCCATATCTGAGGATGTCTGTAGGAACAGACGAAAGCTTGTAAAAACTAAAAAAAGACCTTATGAAACTGGAATTTATAAACAGGGATCATATTCATATATAGGTTCGGGGTTAGTGTACCTTATTGAAATTGTTTGCGAAGATGTATTCTCGCCATTTAGATCATTAACCTCTATATTTGTTTTTTGTATGAATGATTCATGTAATTATAAGTTGAACAGCACCTATAATCGAAATATATATATATATATATATATATATATATATATATATATATATATAATATATTTAACTTTAGACTTTAAAAATTATATAGTCTAATAAATGTCACTGAACCTGGCCCCAGACCCAAGACTCAATAGCGAAATATATGTAATATCTTCAATCTGAAAATTACTCTATGGTAGTTACCTGGTACATGCCGAGCAGTAGAGTGATCTTCCAAGCTTAGTTTAGATGTGGCACAAGGCCGAATGTATAGAGCACTCGGTGAGGATCGAACTCACTGCTAAGTCGTAACTGTTCTAGCGAGACAAGCAACTCGAGTTGCCAATATAGTGATTTTCTAAGCGTAGCTTAGATTTAGCACAAGGCCGAAAGTTTAGGGCACCCAGTGAGGATCGAACTCACTACTAAGTCGTAACTGTTCTAGCGAGACAAGCATGCTAAACATTACACCAACTCGAAGTGCCCTCATGGCAGTATAATCATATCTGAGTTGCGTCTCTGTCTTTGGGAAAATTGCGACTCAGTTGTGTCTCTGTGTGCGAAAAAATACCGAGATGCTCCAGGCCGTGAGGAGAGGGAGGGAGGGAGGGATCGGTGCTCGCAACGAGGCCAGCGTAACCGGCGGTTGCGGGGGCTCGGGGAATTTTTGTTCCTTGCCCGGGTGCATGCCTCTCGGGCTCCCCACATTAAACCGACCTTGTGCTCCTGGGAGGTTGAGTAAATATCTACTCCCGGCCGCGAGGTACAGGTGCCGGCGGCTGTATACACCTCATTGCATTAGAGAGCGGCAATCGGTAGTCATTTTCCGTTATCTAGGCTCTTTTGAGCCCCGACCTGGGTGTAAGCAAACATTAAACACGACCTTGTCTCACATCAAATTTCAGTGGGGAGATAGGGTAACTACTACATTACTTTATGGTACCGTGATAAACTCTCTTCTGAGTTCTTGCACCCCAGTCAACTTTGATTTTCAAAAATTTATAATCGTTATCTTCTGTCTACTTAAAATATTTTAAATATACACAGAATTTAGATTTGGAATTTCATCATCTACCCGTCAGCAGACTGACGGGTAGTGAATTTTATATATAAGTTTCGGTACTTGGTTGATACAAATAATCCGAATAAAAATAAAATGACACAAACGACATAGTTATATAGTTCTGTATCTATGATTCTATAGGTTTGCAGATGTCCTGTATATATGTGTATTACAAGTTGTAATTGGCGTGTTTTGTGTCTGTGTGTGTGTGTCTGCAAGAAAGCTTACAATGAAAATGAATCAAAACTAATCGGGAAAATTCTCTTAGATTTCCCAACCGTAGGCCTGTAAGAATTTCCTTTTTTCAAATAGGTGAAAGGAGTCAGCACCGAAAAGTCATGGAGCTATGAACACATTCGTCTCGTTTCGGTTATCTGAAGAATTTCTGAATAACTATTTTCTTCAGTTCATAAATACCGGAAACCCCATAATTAGATTCTGAATTTTCAGGTGAAGTATTATCACTATTATTATTTTGCAACTAGTTTTACATCAATTTATTATTGTTGTTCGTAATATTAACCGTTATTATTATTATTATTGCTGTTGTTGTTGTTGTTGCCTTCATTTTTATAATTATATAACAAGTTATTATTTTATAACAGGTTTTGTATCGTTTTATTATTGTTGCAATTAATATTAACATTTATTATAATTATTATTACTTTATAACTAGTTTTACACCATTTTTATTATTTTTTATTGTTAATATAAACTATTGATATTTTCATCGCTATTATTATTATTATTATTAATATTTTATAAGTACATTTTACAGTTTTATTGTTGTTTCGCATAATATGCACCGTTATTATTATTATTATTATTGTTTTATAAATATATTTCCATAAATTAGTTAATTAATAGTCTCATATATATATATATATATATATATATATATATATATATATATATATATATATATATATATATATATATTATTATTATTATTATTTGTCTTTTGACATAGAGCTCTCCCTGGATTATATCCTCCTGGAAATTTGATATGGTGGAGTTGTGGATAGCGGCGCATATTGAGGGATCCGAGAGCCAAGTTCGAATTCCAGTCAAATCCATCACATTCACTTACGTGTTAATACCCTTGGGAAATGTATTAATCCTCTCCTTCTCCGTCCAGCTATGGGTAAATAGCAGAACAGTTTGGGTTTTATAGACTTGGATGGCAACCGGTCTAGGAGAAGGTCCACTCTGAATCCCAAAATCTATGGAGGGTCGTTTGGGGACCTTGTGGCGTGTAGTGCTCCAGGTCTCTGTATTCGAATCTACTAAAAGTGTGTGGTTGGTTCTGCACGAAACCTTCACCACTAAAAATCAAATCATATGTGCTGGTGTCTGTGCTGTCAGTTCCTAGGAACTGAGCTGCTTGACCCTCATACATCAAATACGACGGAGAGTCCACCATATATATATATATATATATATATATATATATATATATATATATATATATATATATATATATATCTTCTAAATTCTTCTAACTGGTACCTTATATACACACACACACACACACACACACACACACACACACACACATATATATTCTCCCTGCAGGGCGTAAATAACCTCGGGGTTAGAATCTCCGACTGATGCCAAATCGGTCGAGTT